TTTCTTTCTCCCCCCCCCCCCCCACTCCCCCATGGGGCTGCCCTTGAAGAACATTTGGAAGCTTCAGCTGGTGCAGAATTTGGTTGTGGCATGGACAGTGAATGGTATTGGTTACTCGGCACATGGGATACCATTGCTTTGCAAACTGCATTGGCTTCCAGTGTTCTTCTGAGTGCAATTCAAAGTGCTGGTAGCACTTTAAAACCATTCATGGCTTGGGTCTCTGTTACTTGTAGGACCGTCTCTCCCCAACTGTTTCTACCCATCCTACCCAGTCTGGTCAGAGGGGCATGCTCTGGGTCCCATCGGCTAAGGAGTGTCAACAGGCGGGGCCCAGAAGGAGAGGCTTTTTTTCTATGGCACCTACCCTGTGGAACATCATTCCACCTGAAATCAGACTGGCCTTGGCCCTGTTGGCTTTTCATAAGGCTCTGAAAACTTGGTTTGATGCTCAGACTTGGGGCCCCAGGTGTGTGATGGAACTGGTCTCTTGGTTTTGCTGATGGCTGTTTTTATGGTGCTTGGCTGCTATGTGTTTTTATTTTTATATTGTGTATTTTATGTATTGTATTTATTTTATTGTAAGCTACCTAGAGTCACATATGTGAAATGGGTGTCTATATAAATTGAATGAATTAATTAATAAAAATAAGTCATTATGGCATTTGGATGCTGCTGTCTTCAGTTAGAATAACACTCAATGTTTTAATGTGAAGTTTTGAAAAAAGAACATGGCAGAGTAAGATATATGGCATGGGGATGGCAGCCAAATATAACTGCTATCCAACTACACTAAACAAATGCAGAGCTGGTTGCTTATAGCTTCTGATCAGATGACAAACCAAATATAGGTAGTCTTCAATTAACGACCACTCATTCACCAACTGCTGAAAGTTACAACGGTGCTGAACGAGTGGTAGCAGCCATCCTAGCACCCCCACGGTCACGTGATCACGATCTGGGCTCCTGACAACCAGCTCACATTCATGACAGTTGCAGCGTCCTGTGGTCGTATGATCACCATTTGTAACCTTCCCTGCCAGCTTCCCAGGAGCAAAGTCAACAGAGATGTTGGCAGGGAAGGTCGCATGTCGCTTGGGTAAATCACCCCCAGCCTGCAGCAGCCACCCCCAGCCCCTCCACACCCACAATGTGCCTCACCAGCCCCTTGCACAACCTCCCGCAGCCTGCAGCAACCACCCTAAGCCTCACTGCATTCACGCCGTGCCAGCCCCTCACATACCCTGCAGCAGCCATTCCAAGTCCCGCCACGCTCGCACCATGCCGCACCGGCCCCTCCTGCACCGAGCAGCATCCACTTACCTGCCCACCAGCCTGCTTGGAAGCTGC